TTTAAAAAAAAATTATCAGAAGTGGGATTTGAACCCACGCCCTCTTTCGAAGACCAGAACTTGAGTCTGGCGCCTTAGACCACTCGGCCATCCTGACTTGTGTTGTATCATTCATTCACAGTTATATTATTATATAAAATAATATAAAGAAAAAGACTAAATTATTATCAGATTTTCTAAAGGAAAATGTCAGATGTTGGATTTGAACCCACGCCCTCTTTCGAAGACCAGAACTTCGAGTTTGGCGCCACAGACTCGGCCATCCTGACTTTTGCGAAAAACGAGGCACTAAATGTATCTATAACTCAAGAATGAAAACACAATAAGCTTAATGGTTCATAGAAGGAACTAAAAAGGCAATCAGAAACTAGTCAGGCAGCAAATATCATGGGGTCTCAGACTCTATTTCAGAGTTGGAAAGTAAAATTACTATTTTGGAAGTTAAGGCACAAGGTGATAGTCTTTCTACTCAGGAATGGGATCAGTTGATGAGGTTTAGAAAGAATCTTTGGAGGCTGCATAGGATTGAAGAAAGCATTTTGTTTAAGAAATCAAGATCGAGATGGATCAAAGATGGGGATAGAAATACGAGATTCTTTGAATAGGAATAAAATCAATGTCATTTCTAGCTTGAAGATAAATGGGAAGGTAGTTTCGGATCCTCAAATGATTAAGTCCCATATTTCTAATTATTTCAGGACAGCATATAATTCCAAATCAACTATGGAAGTGGAGGATTTATGTTTGGATTTTCCAAATTGTCAGTGGATCAATCTTCACGCCTTGAGGAGCACTTTTCAGAGATGGAAGTGTGGCAAGCTATTGCATCCTTTGACAGTGCAAAAGCTCCTGGTCCGGACGGTTTCACAATGGGTTTTTTCAAGAAATGTTGGCTCAGTTTGAAGGAGCACTTACTGAAATTCTTTTAAGATTTCCATTGTGGAAGGGATTGGGAGCATGGGGTCAATCATGCTTTTATTATCCTAATTCCGAAGAAGTTAAATCCGGAGTGTTTAGATGACTTCAGACCAATTAGTCTTGTTGGTAGTTTATATAAAATTCTCTCCAAAGTCTTATCTAAGAGACTCAGTTGTTGTGTTAATGATATTATTAGTCCTTCCCAGTTTGCTTTTATTCCGGGCAGGCAGTTGATGGATTGTGATTTCCTTGCCAATGAAGGTATAGATTATTGGAGAAAAAAAGAGCTTGAAGGGGTTGTTCTCAAAGTTGATTTTCGTAGAGCTTATAACACTGTCGAATGGTCAATCTTATTCAGAGCTATGTCAGAGATGGGCTTTGGTGAAAGATGGTGTTTGTGGATATCACAGTGTCTTTCTTCAGCTTCAATTTTGGTTCTTGTTAACGGGTCCCCCTCAGAAGAATTTCCAATGGCAAAAGGCCTAAGACAAGGCTACAGTCTTTCTCCGCTTTTGTTTAATATAGTAGGTGAGCTGCTTCATTTGATGTTGTCTAAAGAAGTTGATCTGGGTCTTTTTAATGGATTCGTTATCGGAAAGTTTGAAAATCCTTTTCGGTAATCTCATCTCATCTCCAGTTTGTCGATGATCTCATTATTTTATGTCAAGCTTCCCTTACACAGATTAAAAATGTCATAAGAGTTTTGAGGATATTCAGTCTAATGGCGAGGTTACATCTAAATCTTGCGAAGAGTAAACTTTTTGGTGTTAATGTCGAATAGTCCATCTTAAATGATTGGGCATTGGCCGTAGGTTGTTTAGTTGGTTCTTTTCCCACAGAATATTTGGGCCTCCCTCTCGATGCTAAAAGGAATTCTGAAATCCTATGGGATCTGGTCATTAAGAATTTTAACTTGAAACTTGCTAGGTGGAAATCTTCACGTCTTTCCTTGGCAGGCATGTCAGTACTTCTGAAATCGGTGTTATCCTCCTTGCCTATTTTTTTCCTTTCAATTTTTTAAAATGCCTAGCAAAATTGGCTAGAAATTAAACTCTTTGATGGCCAATTTGCTTTGGGGAGATGCTGAGGAGAAGAAGCAGATTCATTGGGTGAAATGGAGTACAGTTTGTCAGCCTTTAAATCATGGTGGGCTTGGAGTTCTGGATCTGAATCTTACCAATCAGGCTCTACTGGAAAAATGGGTGTGGAAGTAGGGATGGCAAAAAAATCCGAACCCAAAGGGAAAACCGAAAACCGAATTAAACGGGGACGGGGAAAAACCGTTTATGCTAAACGAGGACGGGGACGGGTTTGGTAATCCCTGCCCCGATTACCCAACCCGATACCCGGCCCGATAAATATTAAAAATAATTATTAATATATATATATATATATTATAAAAATTTAATTTAAATTAAAAAATATATATAATTTATATATTTAATTTAAATATATATATACCCAATCCGATACCTGTTTAAATAACCATTTATGCTAAATGGGGATACCCGTTTCCCCACGGTTTTCTCCGATTACCCGATGGGGATCCCCGTTTAAATCCTTGCGGTTTTTTAAGCGGGGATGGGTATGGTTTTTTAAACGGGGATGGGGGGACCAATACCCGGCTCGAACCCGGCCTGTTGCCATCCCTATGTGGAAGTTTGCCAATAAGAACTTGTTATGGAAAATAATGTTGTGCAGTAAGCATAAGGTCAGTTGCAACACCATGTCTATTTCCAAGGTTTTTTCTCCTCAAGCATCATGGATTTTGAGAGGTATTGCTAATAACTACCTGAAGAATGATTCGGAGGGAGAGAGCCTAAGATCGAATTCGAAGTTGCAAGTGGGTAATGGTATGTCCATCTTTTTTTTGGACAGATGTTTGGATTGATAACACACCTCTTAAAAATCTGTTTCCTAGGATTTTTGCTCTTTCTCCAAACAAATTGGGTAAGGTAGCTGAGTTCGGTTGTTTTGAGTCGAATGGTTGGGTGTGGAACATACAAACTAGGAGAAATTTGTGTGATTGAGAATTGGACCAATGGGTGGATTTGTTGTTTAAATTGAATAGTATAAATTTGACCGATTCAATGGAAGATTTCCTATCTTGGTCTGCAAGTGGTGATGGATTGTTCTCAGTTAAATCTTGTAGAAGGGCCCTTAATGAGTCCTCTGGGAATAATTATTTGTGGAAGAAATGGGTGTAGTTGGGTCTAGCTCCTCCTCGTGTTGAATCTTTCCTTTGGCAGTTATTTCATCATAAAGTGGCAGTCAGAGTAGAGTTGATTAAGAGGGGGGTGCCCATTGGTGGTGATATTCTCTGTCTGCTTTGTAGGCAGCATGAGAAATCAGTGCAACATCTTTTTATTTCATGTTCTGTCACTTGGGAACTCTAGAATAAGATTATCATCTTTTGGGATTTATCTGTAGTTCTGCCCAAGGATCCTCCTTCCCTCCTTAGCTCGTGGTCCGAATTGAGGGTGCATTCGATGATTTGGAAGTTTATTCCGGGTTTTTTTGTCCATTTGGAAAGCTAGGAATGCAATTGTTTTTGGCAGTGCCTCACTGGACAGGATATCTCTTTTCTTCATAGTTAGATTTAGGTTATCTAAGTGGTTTCTAGCCAAGTTTCCTCATGTTCTTATCCAGGAGGATGTGCTGATTGGAGATCCCTCCCTCGCAGATAGTGTCTCTGTTCCTAAATCTAAGAGTTGTCTTGTGCTTTGCTGGCTACCCCCACAACTGGATTTTCTTAAGATGAACGTTAATGGAGTTATAAGGTTTGACGGGTTGGTCGGAGGAATAGGTGGTATTTTAAGAGATTGGAATTGTTGCACTCTAATGACTTTTTCGGAAAGTATTGGTCAAGGGCCCCCTCCAGTTGCTGAATTAAAAGCTATTAAAAGAGGCATTGAAATTTTTCTTTCTTTAGTTTGGGTTTCTGTTGGTAGGTTGATTGTTGAAAGTGATTGTAAGTCGACAATAGAGTGGATTCAGTCTCCATCTTTGGCTCCTGTCTTTTTTAATTCTCTTGTTAAAGAGATTTTCTCTTTTTTATGATAAGGTGTCTTTAGTAAAGTGGATTCCAAGGGCTTGTAATTGTGAGGCAGATAGTTTAGCAAAGGAAGGTATTGGGTGATTGTTTGGTTTTGGTTTTAGGCTGTTTTATTCGTTTTTGTAGTTTCTGCTTTCTGGTGTAATTGTTAAATCTTATGTAATGTTGTTATATTAATAAATTAAGACACTCTTTTCCTCCTTCCGCTGGTTGGTTCTTTCTTTCGGGAAAGGAACCACTATGAGGGAGGTTTTTAATGAGGCCTCCTATTTCTATAAAAAAAAAAAGCATCATGTAGATCATGGGAATTGTGTAGGCCAAGTAATTGAGACTTTTCTAGGTAGTGCAACCGTATCAATACTTCCCCCATGAAAACTCACTTGTCCTCAAGGAAAAATGAAGGATTTGTATTAACATTTCCATCTTCTTCATCACTGTTTATAAGCTCCAGCGAGGCGAAAGTACCTGCTTTTATCCTTAAAACATTTTAAAGAGGTATTATCTTAATGCTTTCTCTATTGATCACATAGCATCATAACGTGTTGACAAACAGTTAGTTTTTCTCCTTTCGCGACTGGGATGAGTAACAAGTCATTATTAATAGAAGCCTAGAAAGAATGATGCAAAACTATGCAACCTAGACCAAACAAGTTCCATGTAGTATCCATCAACCTCAAAAGAAAATGATATTTTTAAGAAAAAAAAATATACAACTACTTACAGGTGCATACAGGTTATTAGCCAAGTGTAAGATTTGAATGATTCTAATGACCGTTTAGATTCTTACAACATGATGATTAGTCTTTATCTGATGGTAAAACTACCCGTAGTCTTATAGAAAATTATGGTAGAGATGTTTTTCAGGGTTTTTTGTTCGTGTTCGAAAATATATCTTGGCCCATCTAGTTGGCAAAGCTTTCATGATGAATTTAAGCGTAAAGTGCTTTATATTGTGTCAGATACCACATTACTGTTCATAGTATCATGAATAAAATTGTACTCAAAAGTGGTTATGGAGCCTTACCCGGAGAGGAGTTTGAACTGAAAGCCTTTCCAACACAAAATTTTCAACGAACGTGTCTAACTTAGCATCTTCATTTCCATATACTATGTTTTCATGTCCAGACAATCGTAATGAGAGTTTTGAACTCCATGGTTGACCAGAATTGACACAAGCAACAAAAGTTGCAATATCAAGGTTATAACATAATTGATCACAGAGATGTTCCACACAAGATACCTGTCAAGAATATAAATTATAAAAATTGTATTTCTTATCTATAGAATATTCAACTATTACATCATGAAAGTTCAGAAACATGAATTACCTCATCTGATCGGTTTCCATAGAGAGTATATTCTTCCAGCTTAAACGCATGTGATTTACTTATTCAAAGAAATTGCATTAAGTTCCGCCTCAAAATTGTTTTACCAGATAGCAAATCCCAACCCATAGTAGCTACAAGGGGCCGAAGGCGAGGGAACAATACAAGAACCTAACCATATTTTTTAAAAGATGCATATAAGATTGACAAAATAAGAGATCAACACAAAAAAATGCCTGATATGTTTTGGGTCAGTGCATTGACTTGAACATAAAATAAGAAACTTACATTAGTTGCTTCTTCAATGTTCTCCCTTTTTATGGCAGACAAAGCTGTATTCATCACACACTCTAGTACATGTAACCCAGAAATGCGAGCATAATGGAACAAATCTCTCATGCAAGAACTTGATGCCATATTCAAGGGCCACTGATTGTTATTTAAATCTGCATTAGGTTTCAATTCCACTAAATACTTTTGAAAATGCTCAAGAGGTGGTGGAATTTGGTTGTTATCAAGAGATCTATGCATCTCAATCTTTTGAATAAGCAACTCGTCGTGAATAACCTGCAAGAAAGCACGGTAAAATACAAAGTGCGAACAAGGGAAGGATTTAACTAATAGTTTTAGATCTTTTTACTAGAACAACATTTACTTGTATTTGGAAGTTCAGTTAGTTTTAGCTTGACATTGACATCACAAGAACCCCAACCCCCCACTCCCAAAAAAATGAAATGCAATTACCAATTCTGATGTTCTCAAGGATTTTATTTAGTTAAGTAGTGAGAGTTAAAATTGTCACCAAACACGATGGTATGAAACTATCCAAACTATCATAAGGAATCTCCCAAGCAGACTTCAAATTAAGCAATCCAGCATGGTTCGTACTAAGAATTATAGGCAATATACTAGGATGTCACCAGTATGGAGTGTGGGGAACCATTAGAAGATAAAATAAGGTAATACCTGAATTATTTGAACAATATGCCTGCAATTTGATGACAAAGCTTCTTCATAAATCCGTAACAATTTTTCTTCTTGGGAACGCCTGGACTCTCCAAATATTTCCATTTCTGATAAAACCCTCTTGAGTAGATCTTTTAAGAGTGACTTATTAGAAATATCAAAGGAATGTAAATAAAAAAAACTAAGGATGGATGAAATTATGCCAATGCCAAAGACATGTCATTGAAACCAGAAAAGAAATGAATCTAGGGGACTACACGTAGAATCTACAAGAGAATGAATGAATGTCAAATACAGTCATTCAAATACAAGAGAATGAATGAAAAATAAAGTCATTCAAATCACCTAAGAGATCTAGGGAATAAAATTATTGAGCAGATAAAGCACACAAGGTTAATTTGCCAATAAACTTTGTCAGTAAAACCTTCATGAATTTACTTCCAGGAAAAAAGTTATTGAAGAACTCTAAGAAAATGTTTGCAGTAGTAGACAAAAGAATGCTTAAAAACATCTATAATTCCACTAAAAAAAAGATGAAACTCAATGTGGTATCTGCTCTGCCACAATGTATTCTTTAATTATATAAGATTGTATTTCTCTGGCATCTAACCATCTTCAGCATATATAAAATGGTTCTAGTACATCCAGTAGTAGTCACTCTAAATGTACTGACTTGGTTTAACTCCAATTAAAACAAAACTTGTTTCTGAAAGTGTGATTTCATCATGGAATATACAACAAGAAGAAAAGTGATTTTTTATTTAATTACATAGACAAGAATTTTATATATGATTTTCTTCTTTACACCCCCACCCTCTTCCCCTTTTCTATGTCTGTTTTCCACCCTTTGAATCACCTTAATAGTAAACTAACCTCTGATGGAATGACAAAAACAATGTTAAAGGTCTATGGTGGCAGATGAAACAGCCCGTTGGTTGGTTAAGTTGGTATTTAGCTTCAACCCCTTTTCCAAAGAAAATACCAGTGAAAAATTACTTGGGTAGTTCACATAGGACATCTTAAAAATTAAAATATCATAACCATCCTTTATACAAGATGCTAAAACCAAATTCCATGCCTAAAAGCTGCAGCTTAAACCAAGCCTGATAAGATTTAAAGTTGAGAAAGAATCTACAATATTTTTTTAAGGAGCGTTCAACACTGATCCTATCTATATAGTTGAGGCCAAACAGAAAAATAGTGAAGTTAATCAAGAGCCACACTGGATTACAACACTTCCTGAAACCAAAAGAAGTAGAACAAAGAACATACCTACCACAACCACAATTGGATAATTTGTTTTCTTCCCTATTTAATAATGACTAGATAAAATAAGCTAAGCATCTTGAAAGAGAAACATATTGCAGTGAAATTGTAAATTTCAAACTCATTTTATCAATAAATGCACTTACCGATACACAACCTCCTCGACTCCATGATCAAGGTGAAGAAAACGAATATGTGAAACTGCTCCTTCAATATCCCCATCCTTCGTAGATACCTTCATAGTATCCAGATGAGCCAACTGAACACTCTTTTGCATTAAACTAAGAACTCCCTTATGTTCCTCATCAAATGAATCCACTCTCACCTTCTCTCTTCGTACCATTATAGCCATCCCCAAATCAACATCGTCCAACCCTTTCAATTGCCTCTGAATATTCGTGCATAAGGCATCGAAAAGATCTGCATAATCCATGATCACCTTCCTCAAACAAACCAATTCTTCTTCCTCAATCAAAACCTTCTCCAAAACAGCCTTATCCTCCTCTCCACCACCATCATCACAACCATCCATGACTACATCCGGTCTCAATCTCCTCATTCCCAATTCCAAAAACCTATCTAAAACCCTAACACAATCTCCCAATTCACCATTTCCCTCTTTCAAATCCTCACTTCTATCCAACAACTCTGGTTTCTCTTCCTCAAAACCATCACTCTCACTTTCCTTCTTTTCAATATTATCCAAGTTAACATCTCTTCTCAGACTAGCCAATATCTTATCGATCAAAACTTGAACTAACAACAAAAATTCCGCTCGTATTCGCAATGTGTCGGGATCGAAGCTCCATATCGATGTCGGATTATTAAATTGCAAGAGTTCGAGAGTTGAAAGGTAGGTTAGTAGAGCTGGTGATGGACAAGAAGGTGACCAGGCAATGTTCTCGAACCGACCCGAGTTGGCAACGATCGTTTGAAGGATTGCTCGAGCAAGTTCACGGTCTTTGGTTCGTAGAGCGAGAATCGTGGCTCGTAACGGCTCGAGTTGTGCTAGGTGTAGATGGTTCGCGACTAGGCGCGAGAGCAGTTCAGTTTCTTTTTCCATAGAAAATGTGAAATGGAAACGAAGTATGTGTTTGGATTCTGTATATCTATTCCACAGAAAACTTGCGATTGACCTTGAGAACTTAATGCTGCATGAGTTGTATCTTTTCCAGGATTGAGAATTCGGTGATTGAATCCCGGGAAAACAGTTCAAGGAAGAAAACTGGAATCCAATTCAATATAGAGATTATTTATGGCCAACGAGACTTTGACGAGTTGACAAACGTCACAAACCTGGAACCTTGAATATTTATGCTCGGCTCCTACATTGGTTAAAATATGTTGAATTAAGGATACGTTTAGTTTTAGAAAATAGAAATGACCATCCAGCTCAGTTGGTAGAGTACAAGGTTTTTAATCTTGAGGTCGTAGGATCGAGTTCTACGGAAGGCATTTCATAATTCGGAAGTCTCTTACGGAAGCTGCTCTCAACTTGGTGTTGGGGTAGCCTACTATCTTACCTCCCCTTACCCTATATATATGGGAGAAAGGGACAGCAATTTTTTAGTTTTAGAAAATATAAATTTTTTTTATTTTTATAAAAAAATAATAAATATTGAAAAAACGTTTTTAGTTATAAAATTGAAAAATAATTATTAAAAGATAAAAATAAATAAAAATACGAAAACATAAAAAAATATAGTTTTTTGTATTTTTATTAAAATTATTTTGAAAATTCAAAAAAATATATATATAGATTTTTAACTTAACTTACATATATTTAAATCATAGGTAAATTATGTCAAATACCACTCATTTTTAAGTTCGGGCTCAAAAATGTCACTGACATTTTAATTTTGTCAATTTTAACACGGACATTTATGTTTCACTGTTATTTTACCACTCCGCCGTTAATCTGTTAACGGGACGATGACATGGCATCTTTGTTCCGTGACGGTGATGACGTGGCTCCCTCATCAAAACGACGTCGTTTTGATGCTCAAAAACTCAAAACGACGTCGTTTTGTTGATGAAAAAAATATTTTTCATGGGATTCGAAATGTAGACCCTTTAGAATCCAAAACTAAATACTCAAACACCAAACTAACTTAAGAACTTGGTATAATATTAACAAAACTATTCTTCTACTATGGAAACTGGAAACCACTATAAAACGCGGTGTTTCCGTCTTATAGTTTCTGCATTGCCATTGTTATTGTTCTTGCTCTTCTTCTAATTTTACTGGTAAATTTTTTTCCCTCATTCAGTGTATCCAAAGTGAAAAATCGGTTGCTTTTGAGTATGTGTTTGTGTTTTATTCTTTCGGAGATATACGTTTGTATGTTTGGTTGCTGAGAAAATGTTGGAAACGTTGAAAGGAAAAATGGTTTTCTTTAACTGTATTTGGGGTTTACAAAATAGTTGTGCATTTAATTTTTGATGCATAGTTTTCTCTATTAAAATTATAATGCTTTCTGCATTGCAGGAATTCAATTTCCCTGTGGATTGAACAGTTTAAGATCAAATACTAGTGTGTTTGTGCAGCAATGGTTCTTGGTTTGAATGCAAAGAACCGGAGAGGGCCGAAGGTTCGCGTTGAGTATCTAATCCAAATTCAGGAGATTAAACCCTGGCACCGTCACGGTCACTGAGATCACTTCGTTTCGTCCTGATTCAGTGGGAAAATGGTGAATGTAATTCGGGGTCTACCAAAACTGCTTCGCCCACACTCGGTTCGATTGTTGGCGAGGGAAAGATCGAGTTTAATGAGTCATTTACGTTAGCCGTGAATCTAGTGAGGGACATGTCTGTTAAATGCCGGGATGCTGATGTGTTTCATAAGAATTTCTTAGAATTTAACTTGTATGAACCTCGAAGGGAAAAGATCCAGTTGTTGGGACCGACATAGTGGATTTGGCCGAATATGGTGTTATCAAAGAGACGGTTGATGTTACTGTTTCGATGAACAGAAAAAGGAACTATAGTAGTAACACTCCTCAGCCAATCTTGTTCATTAAAATTGATCGAATTTACAAGGGTCATAATATTTCTTCATTGAGAGGCAGCCTGTCGAAGGAGCTACCACAGGACAGGAAAAGAAGTGAGTCTGTTTCTTCTCTCATGGAAGAAGAATATGCCGAAGAAACTGAGATTGCTTCATTCACTGATGATGATGTTTCCTCGCACTCCTCTCTGACCGTTTCTTCTTCAACGTTGCGTTACAGTTGCGTTCAACTGACCTTATTTATATTAGTTTTGTTATGATTATACTATGTTTTTAAGTTAGTTTGTTGGTTGGGTATTTAGTTTTGGATTCTAAAGGTCTACTGTTTGAATCCCATAAAAATATTTTTTCATCAACAAAACAATGTCATTTTGAGCTTTTTGAGCATTAAAACGGTCGTGTCAAAAACAACGTAATTTTGATGAGGGAGCCATGTTATCGCCATTACCTAACAAAGATGCCATCTCTTCGTCTCGTTAATGGATTAACGGCGAAGTGGTAAAATTACAGTGAAACATAAACGTATGTGTTAAAATTGATAAAATTGAAACGTCAGTGGCATTTTCGAGACCGAGCTTAAAGATGAGTGGTATTTGACGTAGTTTACCCTTAAATCATTCTAACAATAATTTTTTGATTTAATGATATCTAAAACCCTCAAACTTTTGTAAAAAATGCGATATGGTCCCTAAACTTTTTTATACTCAATGTAATCCTTAAATTAATTTTTTTAATCATCTAATTTTTTAGTATTTTTATATTTAATTTATTGAATATCTTAATAAACGATATATTTTATATTTTTAATTTAAATAAATTTTATTTTTAAAAAATTAATAAGTCCTCAAACTTTCTAAAATAATCAATTAGGTGCATCTATTACATCATTGTCCATAAAGTATTGTCACAACAGTATTGTGAATTATCACATTAATATTTTAGATTGTCGTGTAAGTTTGTGAATTTTCATTTAAGCCCGTGACAGAAAACATTTGATTCTGTTGTTCAAAGGGTTAGGTTAATATTTTTCTAAGTTTAACGATTGGTGAAAAATAATTCTACACTAATTATTTTTCTCAAAAGTTTGAGGGTCTGAGTTACCACTAAACATATTTTTTTTATATTAATGACACTTTTCTGTGCTATTACTTATAACAATGTTTTGTGTATTTTTAAAATTTAATTAATGTTTAATATGAATTAACAGTATATTCTTATTAAAAACTAAAATAAATTTTGTGTTATGAAATTTCTTATCAATTTTATTATTTTATTTTGTATAACTCATATGTTAAAATTAGGTAATGATTTTTAATAATTATAATCCAATTTAATTATTTAATAACTATTCATTTTATTTCTTTTTTAAAAAATTAGATACCAAAATTATTTTTAATATTTTAGTTTTGAATTCAAGTTTTCATTTATATTAACCAAACATGTTTTCCAATTTTCAAAAAATTGAAAATAAAAAATATTTTCTAAAAACAAAATAGAAAATATTTTCAAGAACCAAACGGACCCTAATTTTCCAAATGAAAATATGAAAAACGTATTTGATACTTAAGGGTGCATTTGGTAAAACTTTCTAAAGGTATTTTTAGTAAAAAAATTGTTTTAACTGTAAAATTAATACTAAACAATTAAAAAATAAAACAATTACTATGAAAACGGTGGTTTCAAACCAACCGTAAAAGTTAAGATTTCTATTTTTCATTTTCAATTTTACTTTTGGAAGGAAATTATAATTTTAAAATTACTAAAGTTATACTAAATTGGCCCTTGTTTGTTCACAATTACAATAATAATAAATATGAGTAATCAAATAAAAAAATAGGTTAAATTATACCATTGATCGTGAAGTGCAGTTAAATATTGTGGTATAATTACGCAATTAATTATTGTTATTTATTCATTCTCTCATTTTAATCATACTATTAATAAATTAAAATAAATATGAAAAATAAATCAAATAGTGGCACGCTGTCCCATTTAATTGGAGGATTGGATTTATTTATTTATTATTAAACAAAGAAATCATATTGGGGGGAGATTGATTTGAAACTAAGACACAAAAGAAACTAACCAATCACCAAACCACCAAGCCTAAGCCACTTCTTTGTTTCAAATTACAACTGTATCTATATATGTTATTGTCACTCTTTGATTTCAAGAAATTAAATCATGCAAAATTAAGATATATTTTAAGATTGATAACATCTTTTATCTTTATTTAAAAATATTTAAAATATATATTTTATTCTTCTTTAACTTATTAAATATATGTTAAAAATATTTTAAATTAGGAATAAAATAAAATATTTTTTAAATTTAAGATAAAAATAATATATATATATATATATATATTAAGTTAAGAATAAAATATTTGTTTTCAATTTAAAATAAAAAAATTACATTTTTAAATTATGATCAGAATAAAATATTTTTAAGTTAAAATAAGATTAAAATATTTTTAAGTTAAGATAAAAAATATTAAATAATTTAAAATAATAATATCATTTATTTAATAAATTAAGATAAAATATATACTTTCAAAAGTTAATATAATAAAAAAAATATTTTTAAAATTTTATTTGAGAATAAATTATATTTCTAAAATTAAATTAATAATAAAATAGATTTTCAATTAAGTTAAGAATAAAATATATTTAATAAATTTTGATAAAAAAATTAATAAAAAAATATTATGAATATAAGTTTTTATACATTAAAATAGGCTTAGTGGTTTGGTGATTGGTTGGATATCAATGTCTCATTGGATTGAATCCCTCTCCCTAATTTACATCTTTTTGTTTTCTTTCAACCAGAGGATGACACATATAATCCTCTAATTGGTGAAAAATAAATATATTTGATTAAAATAAAATAAATCTATTCTTCAAATTGAATGGTGATCGTCTGTAACACCCATTTCCAGTATATGTTTCCGTACACAAGTGACACATGACTTTTAAAAACATTTACCCATTTGTAAAACCCATAAAATTTTGTTTCGAAATTTAAAACCAAAACATTTTAGTACAACAATAAAACAG